ATATATTGGTAACGAATCAAATATATCTTTCCTGCCTCTTTTCGTCTGACTTCTGATTTCTATCTGACTGGGAACGATCGAATATAGAAGGTGCTACTGGTAGCTAGTTGTAAAACTAGAACATCTGTTGCATCATCATTGGTGAACCCGACGTGATCTGGTACACCAAGCCAATATACTGTGAGTCTGTTCCATTTTGGAATATTTTTATTCATTGTTATTTCTTATTTGAATTTTATATATTGTGATATACTGTTTTTTCGCAGATTTTTTTTCCCGGATATATTTTATTTAGACATTTTTCGTTATCTATATTAATATGACGGAACACTCTCCTAAGGTTCTTAAGTTTAAGTCTATTCCCCCTATTTCGATTCAGTTAACGCCATTTCGGCCCGACAATATCGAGTCCTGGTTCTGCTATGCAGAAGCCGATTTTAGCATGCACGGAATCACGGACTCGCACACACGTTTCTTCGCGGTAGTTAAGGCGTTACCGCGCGAGTTTAACAGGTATGTAACACCTAGTATGTTTACTAGTGATGTTCCCAAACCTTACGAAACGCTTAAGCTATCTATTTTAAAACGAGGAGACCTAACTGATCGACAATGGTTAGACCAACTCCTTAACAATATCGACTTGCAACATGGTTCTGCGACGGACATGTTGCTTAGAATGAGAGAAGTCATCGGCCAACGAACTTTCGATGATGGCCTATTTAGACAACTTTTCTTGTTTAAACTCCCTCAACAGGTGCAGGCAGTGCTTGTTTCATTTCAAAACAATGCCATAGATGAACTAGCTGCATCTGCCGATCGAATCTTGGAAATCACTAGATCTTCTAAGGCCGAGGTTTTTTCCGTCAAGGAAAAACCCCAATTGACCTCGACTGGCATGGCCGAACTATGTCACACGCTTACACGATATCTTAGAGTTCGCAATGACCGTAGTCGGTCAAAAACCCCGCGTAGAAGCGCCTCACGTAAGCGATCTGGCTCTGGACCACGAGAGACAGACAATCCCGACTGGGGCTGGTATCATAACCAGTACGGTAAGTTTTCCAGAAATTGCAGGAAACCTTGCAATTATCCGACCTCAAAATCGACTGACACGAATAAGATTTCGGGAAACTTCACAGCCAGCACGCGTTAACGGCAACCGTAGCCGGCGAACACAGCCGCCTCTTATGTGTCACGGATGTGACTGCGAAAGTTTGCTACCTCGTCGACACTGGCGCAGAAGTTATCGTTCTTCCAGCAATTCCCGACGACAGACTTCGAGAGTCTGTTTTAAGTTTACAGGCGGCAAACGGAAAACCGATCGCTACTTACGGTAAAAGGTACGTCTACCTTAACGTGGGTTTACGCAAACCCATACACTGGATTTTCGTGGTTGCAGAGGTCTCTATGCCAATCATTGGTATAGACCTGTTACAACACCACAATCTACACATCGACACACGCTCACGAAAGTTAATAGACGGAAACACTAAGTTATCTGTTAGCGTAACTCCTTGTTCTGGTTGCAGGTTATCCTCAGTCACGATTGAGCACACCATAGACCCCTTGTACGAATCAGTACTCGACAAATACCCCGTGATATACCAATCGCAATCGAAATTGCCTTGTGTAACCAGTTATGTTACACATCACATCACGACTACAGGACCACCTGTATTTTCGAAAGCTCGAAGAATCGCTCACGAGAAGCTTAAGTTAGCTAAAAACGAATTCGACCACATGATGGACCTAGGGATAATTCGACCATCGAATAGTCCATGGGCATCCCCATTGCACATGGTCCCTAAAAAGGACAGCAATGATTGGCGGCCAACTGGTGATTATCGGCGTCTGAATGCTAAAACCATTCCCGATCGTTACCCGCTGCCTCATATTCACGATTTGACAGCTACCTTGAAAGGTACAACTGTCTTTTCGAAAATCAACTTGGTTAAAGCTTATAACCAAATTCCGATGGCACCTGGCGACATTCCTAAAACAGCCACCATCACTCCCTCCGGTCTTTACGAATTTCTACGAATGCCTTTTGGTTTAAGAAACGCGGCTCAAACCTTCCAAAGGTTTATAGACGACGTCTTCCGAGATCTCAACTTCGTACATGCGTATGTTGATGACTGTCTAATAGCAAGTTCGGAGAGAGAATCGCATCTCAAGCATCTGGACATTGTTTTCGATCGACTCCAAAGGCATCGCATTACTGTCAACATACAGAAATGCCAAATCGGAACAAACTCCTTAGACTTCCTAGGACACACCATTGATGCCCAAGGTATCCGACCCCTTAGGAGCAAAGTGGCGGCCATTCTGGATTACCCAGAACCGAACACCATCAAACAGTTACGAACTCTAACGGACTTGTAAGTTTCTATAGACGGTTCATACCCAAATGCGCATCCCTTATGAAACCGTTAACCGATCAGCTTCGTGGAAATCAATTAGTTTAGACGACATAGCCCGTAAAGCATTTTCCACAGTTAAGGAACACATCGCTAAAGCAACCTTGCTTGTTCATCAGGACACTCAAGCGCCCATTAGTATCGCCGTGGACGCATCCGACTCAGCAATCGGAGGAGTCTTACAACAGTGGGTTAACAACTCGTGACAACCTTTAGGATTTTTTTCGAGACGGTTGCTAGACGCTGAATCTAGGTACAGCACGTTTGGTAGGGAACTCCTAGCTATGTATTGTGCTGTACGGCATTTCCAACATTCCATCGAAGGAAGAGAATTCACGCTTTTTACCGATCACAAACCTCTTACCTTCTCTTTATCTTCATCTTCAGACAAGTACTCACCGCGAGAGTCTCGACAACTCGACTACATTTCGCAGTTTACTTCAGACATACAACACATTTCTGGAGCTAACAATGTGGTCGCAGACGCCTTGTCTCGAATAAATTCCTTGAACAGTTTCCAAGGAATCGGCCTTCTTAAACTCGCTCAGCTTCAAAAAGAAGACATTGATCTTCAGCATGAGTTATCCTCGACAACTCTTAAACTAAGTATTAGGCAGATGGGAACAGGTAAGGAAACCTTACTCTGTGACACATCTACAGGTAGGGATCGTCCAATAGTACCAAAACCTTATCGACGCAACGTCTTCAATACGTTGCACAATCTTTCTTACCCAGGTGCTCGTGCATTCATCAAGCTTATAGCCGAACGCTTTTGTTGGCCTGGCATGAATAAAGACGTGAGGGAGTGGGCACGCTTCTGTGTAAGCTGTCAGAAATCTAAGGTAATCAGACACAACAAATGTCCCTTAGGCTCATTTAAAATCCCTGACGCTCGTTTCGACCACGTCCATCTAGATTTGGTAGGACCCTTATCCGACTCGAATGGATACTCATATCTGCTAACATGCGTAGACCGTTTTACTCGATGGCCAGAAGCAGTACCGATTAGGGACATTACTGCTGAAACCGTGGCCCGCGCTTTCGTCGAACGATGGGTAGCAAATTTCGGTTGCCTCTCAACCATCACTACGGACCGCGGACGCCAATTCGAATCTGAACTTTTCCGTTGTCTCACCTCACTTTTAGGAATCATGCGCTTCCGAACGACCGCCTACCACCCACAAGCAAACAGGTTGGTAGAACGTTTTCATCGACAACTAAAAGCTTCTCTATCAGCTTCAAACGCTTCACAGTGGACAGACGCTCTTCCACTCGTCTTGCTAGGTATCCGCAATGCAGTGAAAGCTGACATTGGATACACGGCATCTCAACTCGTTTACGGAACGACACTCCGATTCCCAGGAGAATTCGTATATCCTTCAGCTTCTTCATTGAACATGGATCTAAACTCTTACACGAGTAGGCTTACAAACGCTATGCGTTCACTTAAACCTGCTCACACTCGACCTCAATCAACTGATGTTTTCGTTCAACCTGAATTACGACATAGTACACACGTCTTCGTTCGTCGAGACTCACATCGACGACCTCTCGAATCAGCATACAAAGGACCCTTCAAAACTCTTCAACATGAACCTAAGTAATATGTAGTCGATAAGAACGGTCCGAACGATGGCATCAGTATCGATCGACTCAAAGCAGCGTACTTAGAAGGAAACCCTAGCTACGTCGATTTTCCTTCGGTACAAGCAAACGACACAGCCACTACACTCATAGTACCCTACACGACAACCGACACACAACTTGATACTTCGTCAACGTCGATAAATAAACCTAAAACAACGCGTTCTGGAAGACGAGTAAGATTTCCAGAACATCTTAACGAATATTGCACGTAGTACATAAGCTTTATCTTGAATTACCTTTACATAGCTTATTATAAAAATGTTTTAATATACTCATTTTTTTATTTATATAAAAAAACCAAAAACCAAAACATTTTTTTTGAGCGTATATATATATATATTTTATATATATAAAAAAACAGTTTTTTCCTGATCGCTTTTAGGCTGTTTGTAAGTGTATTAGTTTATTTCTTTTTTCCGCTCATCTTGTGTCCTTACGCAAGTACGAGTGTATTTTCGACATGCACTAACACGTTTTACTTTACCTCTTTTCCAGGACGGCTGGAAAAGAACGACGAAGTTTCGCAAGCAACCGAAATTTTCATTGTACTATATTTCTTTATTACTATGTTGTACATTTCGGTCCCATAGTTTAAGGAAAGACGACCAGACGCTGGTAAACGAAGCAAGATATCAGAAGAGTGTTTACCAACGACAAACTCGTTGGGTTTAAATTTCTGGCTGGTCACGTCTTAGGGGCATCACTACCTCACAAGGGGGGAAGTGATCTGTAGCTGTAAATAATTCCCCAAAATCAATAGTTCATTAAGTGTTCGACATTGGATGCTGACCACATGTTTAAGTGGACTTGTTTAGCTGAAGGCTTTCGGTCATGCATCCGCACCAGATCACGTTTCAACACGGTGTGGGACACAGCTCCTACGTTTCATTAGCCAGCTCATAGAAAAGTTCCTCGATATATTGGTAACGAATCAAATATATCTTTCCTGCCTCTTTTCGTCTGACTTCTGATTTCTATCTGACTGGGAACGATCGAATATAGAAGGTGCTACTGGTAGCTAGTTGTAAAACTAGAACATCCGTTGCATCCTCACTGCTAAGGGGTCGGATGCCTTGGACATCAATGGTGTGTCCTAAGTCTGAAGAGACAGTAATGCCATCCAGACTTGTTCAAAAAACTTTGAATATTTATACAAACTGTCCATTACATTATTGTAAATGAGATGTTTTACGCGCTGCTGTCATGGCAACGTCACCAACGAACTTTGAGCAACTCCGTTGTACACTACAGTAACAACTCAGTCTCCAATAAAAGATTGTATTAATCTTACACTTGTGTCCTTACTGATCGCTTTCCGCGTTATACGTCAGTTCATTCTTTGTGTTTACTGAGTTATTTGCCCACATTTTCTCTTGCAGATTCTCTTGGGGATACTGGTCCTAACACGGTGAAGTACTTCACCACCACAACAGTTACATTAAGGCTAGACACAAACATATTAAAAGCGATATGACTGAGCTGTAAGAAAAATTTTTACTTTGTGAATTCTGTTTAGGGCTGACAAAAAATCTGATGAAACACAATTAAGTGAGAGATTCGGTATTTTTCAGCCATTGGATTATTCATTTCTGAATATAAAAAACTTATCAGGTATTGCAAGTATCAGTAACACTTACACATTTTAACAGATTTGCCTGTGTGTTGTCCGAGAATGATACCTAGCATCAATTCAGTCATTAAAAAGGATATAGATGGAAAATGGATCAGTCAGACCCTGAAGTTAAATAACAACCAAATAGAGGACATCTCTACACTACCTATTGTGGTTTATGAGCTTTTAGGGGACACATCCAACTTAACATGGTTAGATTTATCTTGTAACAACATACCCAGTATCCCGAATGTAAATTGTAGTTTGTTTTTACTTTCAATTTTAGCTCAGTCTTTTAGTAGTCTTAAACGCTTAAAAATCATCTATATGCATGGAAACAAAATAGCAACATTCCAGGAGGTGATAAAGCTCAGACAGTTACCGAAGCTCACAAAACTTACGTTACATGGAAACCCTATAGAAAAGGAGAAGGTAATACTTTATGTTAGTTCACAGAGACAGCCAGTTATTACTGTTGTTCCGTTTTTTTAGAAAACCACACATCCTAGCTCTCATGGAGACATCATTAAGCTAATTAGGTGATTTCTTGACGAGTATCACGACACATTTTCTAGGCTTAGAAACACCTAGGCGCTTAAAACAAGCTTTAATTTCGTAGTACAAATTTTTGTTGTGAATGCTTTACATAGGTGTGAAATGAGAAAATACTGTAATTTGCATGGGGCTCTGCTTTCCTTACTCTTAACAACTAGGTTAAGACTTGTCTTTAAGAAATTCACAACAAACCTGATACAAAGTGGAGATAACTCTTTTCGGCATCACATATACTCTTACAACTTTCATGGTCAAAGGAACCGATCAATAACAACACCCATACAGAAGTCACATGCATGATCCATACACTAAAAGTTGACATTTCAGTTTGAAGATTACATAACAATAGATATGGACAAAGACTTCTTAAAAGTATATGAGGAAGGATAAACTATATTTCGTTCCCATAGGTGTGATATGATGTATGACTTGGAAATTATTATTAATAAACTGGTAGCGTTCTTTATGATCAGAGCATCATGTTCACAGTAATCAATTACGATGAAAAAACTTTCACTGAAAACCGAAAAACCTCAGTGTTGTCAACATCTTACATAGTAATTTTCATTTAATTCAATAATTTGTCCTTTTTGCAGGGTTACTTTCACACGGTTCTCTCAATATTACCAAACCTAGTAACTCTGGATTTTACTGGGGTCTCGCGGGCGGACAAACAGACTGCGGCACTGATTAGACGTCCTGTTCAAAACAAACATTGAAAGGCGAAACCTCGTCACATCGTTAGTTCATGAAGTAGTCATTGGGAGTGCACCAAACAAAAGATTCAAATTGCTAAGGACAGTGAAATCAGTTATATTTTGCTAACTGCTTTTTTGTCAATAGACACTCACCTCTTTCAGCTTATATTTTCCAAGTTGTTTTTATGAAGATACATTTAAAATTAGAGTTATTCTAGTAATGCAGAACACGTTATTCGCATTCTGATGATAATTTGAGAATATGAAAAAGAAATCAAGAGAAATAAACATCGACAGTTTAATTTTGTGTTTTACACGCAAAAAATATTCACTTATACAAGATGTTGATTAAAATCAAAAATGGTGATAAACCGTGCTGTTTGTTAATTTGCAAATGACTCATGCTATGACTGGTCATGGTTGATTTTTATGCTGGGATCGCTTACTCCTATACTTCGAACAACGAGAAACCACTGCAATTCCCTCGACGCGAAGTAAAAACACCAAGACTGGTACTAGTGAGGATTTATTAACTCTAAAACACGACGAAAATGCACTCATTTATAAGTTAATTATACACCGATTTTGATCATTAATTAGAATGGAATCAGATATATGAAAAATACATAGAGTTTTACTAAATCACATGCTGCATGTCATGCTGGGCATAGTTCACGTCCATTTAATACAAGAATAACGTATTTTGAATAAACACCACACTCAAATAAACTAATGTTACACCGAATAAAATATCACACTGAAAAACAAAACAAATACTACACTAAGTAAACATCACATTGAATTAAAATGGAAGTAATGTTGAACAGAAATCACAATGAGTAACGGAATATATCTTTGCTTTTTAATCCCATCATGTCAGTTCTTTCATGTTGTTTCAAACGGTCAAGTTGACTTGAGATAATAAAATGACGAAATCATCCAAAAACCACTTGTCAAGATCGATTTTTAAACGATTTTTCCACCTCAGTTGCTACTCAGTTTAAGAAACGTATCAAAATACATGCTCACAACTGTTCGCACTTCAATATTCACACTTAGGTCAAATAGGTGAAACACAATAGAGCTAATTTAATCTGTTAAAATCACAACAGAATAGATTGTTTAAAGTGGGAGATTCATGATACTGTAGATGTTAGATCAAATGAGATTTTCTAAAACTAAATTCTTAGATATATTTGTGGCTAACAGGAATTAATTAGCACTGCTTAACCAAGAGATAGATAAGCAAGAAAGTTAACGAAATGATTATTTTAATGTCTAATTTACGAGTAAACTACACAAAAAAGATAAAAATGATAGTGGTTAAAACAAGGTGAAAACTCTCCTACTAAACGTTCTTTGAATGTTTGACCGAAAAAACTAAAACTCTAATCATCTATTGTTGAACAAATCAGGGATAAATAATTTACAAGACCACGACTCACATTTAAAAAATCCATTTTTTGCGACTTGAGTGAACAGAAACTGACGCTGAACAGGTGTATCGTAATTAAGTGTTCTAGCGGACACATTGTAAATATAAGATACATAATTTTATATACGCTAGTCAACGGATAGAAACTTGTCAGTTATCTGACTTCAGTTAATTCACTATCAAGCTGGACAAGTTAAAGTACTGATAAACAGTATCAAGTGATTAAGGAGAATACACCTTGGACTAGTCTGCAAGGTATTTCTACAATTACGGCGATACTTCATGACGTTGCTAACTCTGAAGACACTAACTTGTGACCAATAATATCCTTAGAAGATTGTGAGCATAAAACATAAGAATATACATAACGTACTTAATACAGTTCATACGAAAAGCACACTCTACTCCCTTCAAAAGATTGAAAATTTTTTATGGAACTTATCATAATAAGCACCTGTATTTTTTGACTGAGCTAAACGTTTCAATTTTAAATCTATTAGAGCACAAGAACGTGTAATTGAATCAAGATGTAAAAAAGCCAAGTATGTCACAATGAACACGGCTTTCTTGCGAATAAGTTCCAAAAGGCGCCGATGAGATCGTTTACTTAACTAAAGAACTAGAAACTCATGTCAACAGTGTGGAGACATTCCGGCCAGTTTTCATTTTACTTATAAGTGTATAACTGTATAGAAATCATGAACGAGTTCAATGAACAAACAAATATGAAACGCGAAGTATTTCATTCTGTAGCAAAAAGATTGTTATCACAATTCTTACTCTTAGATCTTCTAGTGATAAAAAACGACTGAAAAAACTAGTTTACTTAATTTATATATCTAAAGAGATAGGGTACGGCAAAATTGGTTAACTGATTACTAAGTTTTTAATGAGAAAAAACTCAATCAGACGAAAAACGAGTTGTCTAGTCCACAAAGATCAGTAAGTTTCAATGAACGTGTCCCAATCACGACGCGAAAACACGTAGGAAGAACGTTTTATTCATTACGACAATTCAAAAAACAAAAAGGTAAAAAAGTAGAATTCTAATAAAGCTATTCACAACTTTCAGACTAGATTTATTCTTTGATGTTTATATTCGGCTTCTTCTTTGAGTTTATATAGCTGTTCTTGGACAACTTGAGTATACATAGAGTGAGTACGTGAACGAAATTCTGATGACGCCAAATATTCAGATGAATTATTCTTCAGTTCTTGACGCAAATCATGGGTATCGATTGGTTTACCTACTAAAACAGTCAGTTGACGCGATTTTCCAAATATACGTGACAGTGTAATAGATGTGTTGGGAACCTCAGAAGGATTTAATTGATCTAGACCACAATGCCAAACAGGAATTACAAGTGGATCCTGAGGGAAAAAAGAATATTTTGGCATTTAAGAAATCTGTTTATTCAACCAACTTACGACTGAAGCGCTTTGATTTCATAAGGTTGATGAGATAGTCTGTTATCAAGTTTCTAAGCGGTATGAGCTTATGTGTGTCAGATTAACTTCAATCAATACATCAATAAAAAGTACATTGAAGCAAAAAATGGATACATATGGATACATGCTAAAGTGCACCAGTTTATTAGGAATATGGTTGGGGTGTGTAAATAATTAAAAAGGATAGAATTACATTTATCTAACAAAGTTTGACGGTTGGTTGAATGAGAAACAGAACGATGAAGGGCGGTATTTTCTAAATGACAGTCCAGAGGTATTTCAAGTCCTGCACTGTCTAAAGCTGATTGATATAGGGATATATTTAGATATCAATGCAGTATATGCATTAACTAGTAAATTAACAGCTGCTGATAATTTATTAAAAAGGTGGAACAAGTTGTTCATGTTTGAAGTAACTAATTACTCAAAAAGATTTGTCCGTAGTAAAAATGATACAAACGACAAGTACTATGGTTATATTGTGCTATAGCTAAGTCAGAATGAAAAATGATTTTAAAAAGGTAAGAAAGTTTATTTTTGCACAAATAAGTAGTGGTAGCTGAAAACAGAAAACTGAGAGGAATTGTGAAACTGCATTCAACTTAAGGCTGAATGTTTCAAAAATAATCAAAACAGTAAAGTATGAAACAAATGTCAGGATTCTTCAGTGTTCCCTAAAAAGATCTACTTTGAATTTGTATTTTCTCCTACCATTTCTGAGAAGTATTATATTTTGTAGATGAACTAAAACAACCATGTTACCGGTGACTTCCACATTGATTTAGTTTCTTCCTCTTCATTCTGACCGAAATTTCATTTCGCAATTGCAAATAGTTAACAAAAATGTTAACATGATCATTCTCACACTGAGTTGTACATTTTTATTAGAACGTACACATATTGCATCCTATTTCATACTCCAGTCCGAATCCACTTCATGCCAAACAACACAATCATACGTAAACATATAACATAGGTTTTAATATTGATTGAATAAGTATTATGCTACTGAAATCCCTAACCTCAAATATTTTATAACCACTCTAATTATTCTCCCCAAAGCCACAACTAGAATAGTGAGAAGTGTTAGGATTACATAAAATTCGTTTTAAATGCGCTGATATCTGAGGATATGATAGATATCAAACGTCTGTTATTTTCCTAACTATCACTATTTATGAAATATTCTGACAATCCATACTGCCATCAAAACTTTATAGAAATTATTTTCGAATGAGTAAAATGTAGATGAGGTGAGACTATAAACCTAGGACTTACGAAAGCTTACTTCTTTTGATTCCGCTATTAATCGTCCGATTCCCCAACGCAGGCGGATATTTTTCTCAGAATCACGTTCGTGAGGTTGAATAATTCTGCCCTAAAGCATGACAATTATAATGACGATTAGGACTTCATTCATTAATATCTACAATTGTCGATCTTAAAAAGCATAAAATTATTTTAAAAGGTCCTTAACAAACTGATAATTTCATAGCAAATGTTTTATTCGCAACAACAAAAGATAAGTGGCACTTATTCTAGATGATCACATAAAGAATCGAACATAGAATGACTACTGAATTTTTGTGGAAATTGATTCTTAGATCCAAAGGGTAGAATTCGTAACGACTGTGACTTCGTGGGTTAAGACAGTTCTGAGTATTACGGCTTAGTATAAGAAACATACAACGGAATCAGTGCTGTACAACATTTTCAAATATCTGAACATAGTGGGATTGCTATGTTCTAAAGTAAGTAGAGTGAGTGACAGGAAGGCCCTCAAGCAGGAATCAATATTTTAGGTTGCTGGTCATTGAGGTAAAAACTCTTCTACTCAATATTTTAACATGTGCTGTTAAATGGTAGTAACCTTGATGGACAATGCTTTTTGCTGAACTAATCATCACAAACCATCAAGTTACTCTTTCATCGTAATTTTACATTGCTTAAAAATGTGCGTAAAGTGGTATTTTTCCTAAGCATTGATTAATTAATACAGGAAGATTGTTAAATTACCCAATCATTATCAACACAGAGCCGGATAAAGAGGTGTGTTGGCTCCAGCTGACATACCATACGAGATGAAATTTAGATGCTAAACTACATAAGAGATCGAAAAAAGTAGTAACAGTGATAATGAGGACGATCGAACACTTGAAATATAGTTCGTAAAAACAGTTGAAAGGTAATTATGAAGGAGTAATTGGATTCAAGATCGAGAGGAAGACAAAGAGTGAATGAACCTTGACCACTAGAAACTATTTTGAACAATATCACAATTTACACTAGTACGGTTGGAGAGGGATGAAATTAAAATGATGTAAAATAGCTGGAAAATAAAAATCAAGCAAAGTCTAGTATGAAATTATGCTAGAAATAAAGTCAAATCATTAAATTTGGCAAGGATATAATTATTACGACAACATAAGCTATAAAAAATTAGCATATTAAAAAAGGCAACCACTTTAAAAACGACTAAGCTCGCAACTATGGTATCGCAAATATTTCATACCTAATCATCTTTACAAACCTGAGAAAATACATGCACCCATTGGCCAGAATTTAGTAAATCTATGCAAAAATCCATACTAGGCTGATAAACCCCCCCACCAAAGTGAATAATTTTACGAGATAGCGGATCACGAACTCTTCGCCATATAGGAACTCCTCTGAACCAGAAGAAGAAGTTAGTATGAAACGAAGTTGTGTAACATATATCTACAGCTGTCAAGCACCAACGACATACGGTTACTAAATGTTTTCATGATGTTTGAATGTTGTGATATTACATACCATTAGCAAAGTGCCTAAGTTTAAGCAATGAACCACACAAGAAAAAATCGTCAAGACACGAATGGTGATTGCTGATTGTAATCAAAGGCTGATTACTAGGTCTTTTTTCAATGGCCAATAAAAAACGTTCTGAACCAACAACGTTTAGCTGATGACGTGACAAGGCTATCTTTGAAGCTAATCCCATGAAAGAGTATGTTAGGGATTGGAGAATTTTACGGGGAAAATATGAGGTTTCCTGATTTTTGTAAAGCTTGTAAACAAGATCCATTTTGATAAAAGGAATGATGCTGTCCAGAACTTAAGAATTCACCAGATGTTTCGGGGATAAGGATTCATCACATCAACTTTTATTCGCAAGTATCGGTACCTGAAAGAGTGACAGTAAAATGTATCTATTAAGTGCTGACCTGACATCGACTGAAAAACTATAATACTCCTAGCATATCGACAATTGACTGATAGATAAGTGACCACTTACGCTGAAACTATCCAATAAAAACAATAAGGATAAAAACGAATGTTCTTCGAGAGCATTGCTTGTAAGTAATCAGTACTAAATTGTATAACTGGTGTCTTTATATACTTGAGGGTACACATGTTAAATCATTGGGCCTCTGAGGCAGTACGACAGCGATTATTCCAGTGGTTTGATGCGCTCTATAAAATATTAACACTATACACCTGAACTAGAATTTGTTTATTATTTATTTAGACACAAGGATTAGCACAAAAGAGCACTAAAATATATGTGGCTACATAGAATTTGTGTGAGGACTGAGATACTTACTGGCTGCCCAAACCGAAGCAGGTGGTTTTCTTAGGAGGCCACTCCTTGAGCTTCAGACCCAGAGGTTTAATCCAAAAAGCAATGAAGCAACGTTTGGAGATGCAGCCTCATGGTGTCCGGTGTCAGTGTAAATGCCGCACAGTGGACTTCGTATCAGTATGGAGAGCGGAGTGTCAACTGTTTTTTCTATATTTAGGCCCCATATTTCTGAAAGTCTGAGGGAGTACTTGCCACGCAACTAGATATTAACTTATATTCCTAATTACACATATGTTCATGTTTCTTATTCGTCTATGTGAAAATTCTATTCATAGATTGACTAGCTTCTTCGTCACAACTAAGTATACCGTGCGCATCGGATCTAATGAAAAGCTGAGATCATATTAATCGAAAGCACTTCTTGAATGGAATGGCCTTGATGGTGAATAGATTGAATCCGCTGACGAAAGCTGTCATCAGTTCACAACGACTGTTTCTTCTATATTCAGGCCCCGTAATTCTTCAACAAATTTTACCGCAACCATCGGTTTATTTGTTAGCACATTGAAGATTACATAATAACACTACAGATTTCGTCAGAATGGATTCACGGAACTTTCTCAAGGAATATGAATGGTGTTATGAGCCTGAAAACTTAGTTTATAGTGTGTATTTGTTGCAGCACCTTCCTGACGATACTTGTTTACATGAACCTTTAGTTTGTTTTTCAGCATTCCCATTCGAGTCTTATATGAGGCAAATTAAGAAATCAATGCGTAGCAGGTATGCTGTAGACAAGCAAGCAGCTCAGCGTTATGCGGAGATGTCTTTCTGTGATAGGCTTCAAACTATCATTGCTACTGATAGTACACAAATAACCGGTATGGTAGACTCACGAAAACAAGTAATTATGCTTAAGAATACTAAAATATCTTCATTTAAGCCGAATAATGTAGTACTAGTACACGGAAATCTCGGTTTGGTCACTGATGTATGGGAGAATGGATTAATGAAATCTAGGTCATTCACAGACCCACGTAAGTACTTCGAAGATCTCTTGCATTCTAGTGACAGAAATATTTATGTTCTCGGTAGTTAGTCATGAGCACATATGGGTTTCCGTTAAGGGTATTGACTGTAAATGTGTTGCCCTTAATTGTGTAAATTATTTGGTGATTGTCCCATTGCTACATATGTTTATGTGAATGCATTGTGTTTCATTTTTGCTGGTGTTATTACCAAAAAAACCATTTCTTTACTTCTTATATCCTATTTAGCCGCCTAACAAACAATACCTAATTTTAGACGCACCAAGCAAGAGGTAGCTTATGATTGCAGCTAAACAGTGGATTGTGGGGAAAGGACATTGTCTCTATCCAACGGAGTTTGATATGCACCTGCAAAACAGTGACCAACTAGATGACAATTGGTCAGTCCTGAAGAGTAAGGTCATTCACGAATGCGAAAAGCGAAATGTCCGGCGCTTTAACCGGGTTGGTGGACAAGGTGAGTCCACCTAGGGGAGTTGGAAAACTCTGATTCCAAACCAATGGTGCACATGGGCTCCAGGATCCTGAGGGAACAAATGGCGTATGAATCAATCATTGGTCACCGGCTACCATGGGACTGCATCTCCTATCGTTGCTCCACTGCCTTGTGGATCAGACTTCTAAGTCAAAGGCTCGGGGTGTGGCTCCCTAGGAAAACCACCTGCTTCAGTTTGGGCACCTGGGCAGTATCACAGCCCTCAAGCAAATCGAATGAGATTTGTGAGGCGCATATGTATCTGGTGCTTCCTTGTACCAATATTTATTTAAATAAGATAAAATAATTCCTATAGATAGCCTCTAGGCTGCAAAGGAGTTATTGATTTCCTTCAAAAAATTAGATGTTTACCGTATCAACAGTTCTACGGACGAAAACACCCTGCCACTAAACAACCAGAAGCTGAAGAGGTCGGTACAATAATCTTACTAATGTTTTGTAGAAGTGCATTGAAACGGAAAGAACGGTTTCATTACAATCCAGTTGACATAGATTTGGCTGAGATGCAGGTTGGAGACACCAACGTCCAATATCTTAAAAATCAGTTGTTTGACACCGCTGTATCGCCGATTGCCAAGTAGGCCTGTTTACTTTGAAGAGGTTAATTAACTAGTCTGACACATTTGGATACGTCGCCCTCAGCGTCCGAATCTAGACGCGCAGGCAATGTGTTAGTGGCCGAGTCAGTCACGTGTTCGATTGAGTTTTTAAGGTTTGATAGACTGCATGCCGTACAGCAGAACATATCGTCGGCTTTTTCAGGCTTGAGTGCCAGCATGAGGCAGCTACTATCGAAGTTTGGTGGGCGTGAACATTCGCGGCAATCCGACTGCGGACTATCAAGTCAGCAGTTTCCTTTGTCATCTGAAGAGGAACTGCGAACGTTGAACGATAATCTTCAGAAAGAAGACATAAGTGATAAATTTGTAAGTCAACAAAATTAATAGGATCATTTATTCATATTGCAGATGGACATGTTGACGTGGTTAATGAATGATAACCCTAAAACGTCTATGCACTATATTTTGTCATACGTCATGACACCTAAAGTTGCCAGTCACTTCACACTACTTGGTAATTCATCGAAAAATGAACTTTAGAAGTGCAGGTTTTACGATTGCATACAAAGTAAGGAATGTTTTTTAACTTCAGGCGCATTAACTAATCGGTTCTTGTCCTCATCCATCAACGAAAAAGACCTTTTGAAACTGTATGACATTGCGACGCAAGGATATTTTCACAACGAAACAAAATACAAAAGAGTCGTCCAACAAAACAAGAACATTTGTGTACTAATTTGAAGTGATAATTATTTTCTACTGTTCTAAAGGTATAATGTTCAGTGTTGACGAACATAACCGTAGATAGTTACTCGAAAAACAATAGCAGTTAAATATCGTTGTGAATTTTTTGTGTTCATTAAATTTCAGAATTCACAAGATTACTTTGCTTCTCAATAGTCCAACAGGCGTTACGAGAAGGCACTACCAGTGGAATATTTTTCATGTTCAACTTCATTTTCAATAAACATGCGCTTATTTTCTAACTTGTGTGGGAAACTCCTTAAGTGAGTGTTGAGAGAACCTGTTTGGTTTTAAATGCACTTGTAACTATGCACATTTGCCTCATTAATAACACACAACCTGTTCCTTCTTTTGTAGATCTTTTCAAATTACAATAAGGATGGGCAATTACAATTAAAATATACAACGATCGATGCTCTGGCATCTGTCAACCACTCATAATGTAAAATATGATGTGTTTTTCTTTTTAATACATTTCTTTAAACATGTACCATTTTTAACGTTGATAGCAGTTGACGTGTGGTTTGTTATGAAAATAAAGGCGAACACAGACGTTTGGGGTTAGGCCAAAAGTGTGTTGAAAACTGAAGCAAAATTAGACAAATCGACGTGTATTTAGACAAAAAGTAGACAGTTTGTCGTGTATTTGGGTGAAAATTAAGCGATTCAGCTATATTTAAGACACAGAGTGACATGAAGTTGAAAATCTGCACTATTTCCCCCCGACATGCGGAAATCTAGACATTTAGTCGTGTTCTCCATACCATAGTATATACTATATAGTATATACTATGGTACTATGGTACTTTTGCAATTAGATATCTAATTTCCTCAGTATTAACGACTGTCAGTGGAACTCGGTTCCCTGTTTCCTAAGGTCACTTAAGGACATGTATGGTGAAGCCTATGAAAACGTATGATTACAAAGAAAACCCATGTGAATTAACCTATGAATCGTCAGACCAAAACTTATACAGTTCTACATACCCAAAGAACCAACCAACGGGGAAATACGGTGGGGAAAAAATGGAGAACACGACTAAATGTACCATATGGTACTTTTGCAAAAGAACGTAAATAAAGGGAGCAATAAAGGAAATAAATATGAATGGGTTTAAATGATTGACCATGAGATATATGGCCTGAGATTAGCTCTTAGGAAGAGAGCTAAACTTACAAACAAATTGCCGTATGTTGAAGGTAGTCACGCTTTCGAAGGTCATGTAGCGTGTCCCTCAAATGGGATTTATCAAATTTGTGTGGTAAAGACGGAAGGACTACTGCCTATTTTATTCCTCTTCTAGTATGCTTCTTTGAGTGCATAGTCTTCTCTTGAATGAGTCTATTTAAGGTGCGGACACCACTGCTTTGAGTAACAGGTTCCAAGAATTGATGACTCCATGTGGAAACATATATTCCACGGGCATTTTGTTCGTTATTCGCTTTTCTACACGTCTAACATGTCTTCTGAGATTTCACGATCTAGTGGGAAGAAAAAGAGAGGATATATTAGGTCCAAAATCATTTATTAGTATACTATACACCAAAATCAGATCACTTCTTAACCTGCAATTGGACAGAGTTGTGGAGATAGAACCTTAAAACCTATTTTGCAAATAATTTTTCATAGTTTTCACATGTATTTTCATATTCTGTACATTAAGCATTAAACAATTGTACTTGTTGTTTAACTGTATTACTTTGAACGCTTGTAACACTTCTTCCTTCCGTTTTGAGTACAACATATCGTGCCACTGTTAATGCTCCTCAACAAATACACTCTAATTCACGTCTGCATCGTTCTGCCCTGTCTGCTAATATGTTGAATGAAATATTAATTGCATACCATCTACGTTTATAGACAATTGCGACATTCTTATTGAATTCTACGCTTGGTAAAACCACTGGATCTATATCGTCCATATTGGGATTATTAATCTTTTTATAATTGTGGAGTATCTGGACCAAACCCAGCCGAACACGCAATAGCCTGAAGACTTAAGTAACGTCCCTTATTTTGTTATTTTTGTGTGTAATTACTTATTAACTGTTAATTGTTACATAAACTATAGACATAATATTTTTGTTGCTAATTTTTTGGTTATCAAACATTTTGGTCCACCACAGAGTAAATAGGTCTAGCTTTTCAAGCATTTCTTTGGATGGTTAACCCAAAAGTTCCGAAATTACATGGGCAGATGCTCTCTGTATGTTCACCATGATATTCCAGTCACCTTTAAAACAGAGGCTTGCAGCCTGAATGTAGTTTTCAAGCTTAGTCCTTACGAAGGTTGGTTATGCTGTAGTTAACATAGTAGAATCTATGTCCGTCTTAAAGTTCGTAGGGCTCTAAACCCCCTAGCCGCGACCTCCCGGCAATCGGCCGTGGTCTTAGGATCATGAATCACTGTCACCTTAAGATCCTTCTGAGACTGGACCACGGGTACAGACACTTCCCCTATGTTGTACCTATTTACTTTTGTGTACCCAAAGTGCGCATAATAACAATGAAGACTCTACTATACTTGGGTGATCATTTACATACCGTATAAAAAGTAAATGACCTAGATCAGAACCTTGGGGTACTCCGCTAAGTACTAATCTCCAGGTGGAGCTCTTGAAATTCTTTCTTCCTGTATTATAACCTTACACACAATCTTTCTTTTATATATTAGTATTACTGAAGTAACTACTTCTATGGATTTGGTGTTTATTTTGTTGTGCTGATGGTTTGATGCAACTTGGACCGGTGCATATATGTGCCTGGTCCTACGTTGTAGGTGGCTGACAGCCTGTTGTAATTGTCTGAGGGAAAACAAAGTATGTTATCCATAGAATAATGTGCAACATATTTGAAAGTAATATTCTTGGGATCAGATGTGGATTACACTTACTGTGTTTCTGTTTGAATTTGTGTGAAAATCTATACATCCAAAATTTCCCAGAGATTATTTCACTGTTTCTCATAATATATAGTTTTCGTTTATTGTTAACCTTGTCCATCCATATTTTGCTAATATTTGGTTTCTTTTTAATTATTAATCAATCTATTTAATTCAAACGTAGCAGGCCCACTCCATCACCTCGCGACTTCAGAATTGAAATTTAACCCAAGAACGATCATTGAATGGATAAAGTTAGTGGAGTTATACATCAAAATATTCATGCAAATGAACGACATGGTTAACATGTAGTTTTTGTGATATAATTGCACAGCGAGTTTGAAGTCATCATGAACTATCAAACAAACAGTGGCCTCGCAAAAGGCATTTTTCATATTTGAAACTGGACTCCTTCTTCTAGTTCCGAATTCAAATTAATCTCGGTCTTAGACTCACCATTGCTGGTTGTCATTTATTTCTTTACTTATTAAAAATAACTGAATTTTGTGAAATCGCTTAGTCGTCGCCTAACTTTTTCTCATGTTGTTTATTTAACTAGGTTCCTTAGCTAGCATTAATCTTCACGCTCCTTTGGTGTCGTAAATACCTTCAGTCTAGAAGCAAACCACAACTTGCATAAGTCGTCTAAGATTAAGTAGAAGCTCCATAACCGTATACAGTGTCAGTGCACAAAGAAACAAAAAGTGGAGTAAATGACGCATAGAGGCGAACGAAAATATGTGGTCGATAAAGCCTACCTGCTTGAGTGTAACTAATTCAAGAGTCTTTATGATTAGCTATGACCCAACATTGTTGGTAATACCAGGGTGAGCTATCATTCAAAAAATAAAGCACAAACCGCAGAAAGTAAATGTAATATGCTGTTTACTGAACACAGTAAAACAGATCAGGTAAGAAGCTGAGAAGCGAAGATAGCGGAATATTTTTTACATTTGAAAAAGTAACGAGACGAAGTGTTTAGGCGTCGAAAGAACTTTATTACTATGGCGTTCTTATTTTTATAGGTCTCTTATTAATGTCTTCAGAATCTTCAGTTTTGGATTAAGAGTACAAATATAAACTAGTAGACGAAAAGCCTAAATGTGAAGATGAATTAGTGTTTATGAATTTCGAAATGACAGTAAATCAACAAATGTTTAGATACGCAAATACATTTGTCGCTATATCTTCTCATTTGTTGCTGTTTTTATAGTCGTTATCAAACGTGAACTCTTTTTCCTTAACTTGAGAGTCTAAAGTTGCATGTTATGCGTCTTCTTGTTAGAATAGTGAAACCAAAAAAGGCCAAAATCATGAGTTTAGGAAGTGAAAAATATGAGAAAACACCCTCAATGTCATTGAACGGTTGTCTCAACATCATCATAAAGAGCGTGAAGGAAGTAAACTATTCCACCGCATAAATGCATGTGTATAGAAATAACTTACCTCACCAGTAGTGTTTGCTGCCAAGTGACTCTACCTTCCCTCAATTTTTAATGTGAGTTTCGTTTAAAGTGCTGGGTGGATTGCAATAATTTTATACGTCATGTCTATGTTGCAGACTCACTCAAAAAATATATCTACAAGAAAAATACCTCAGCATACCGGACAACTGAAGGTGATCGACTGCTGGTACAACATCGACACAGCACTGTATATCACAACAAAGTATGAATTTCCAGGCCAAATGTAGGTTGATATAGATATACCACTAGGTAGAGGAATGTGGAAATTTTCTGCTTTATAGACGTTGGCGAAAAACATGTGTTAAGTGCGAAAAACTAAACAAAAATAAACAATGAGGGGCCAACATTGTGTAAAGGTTGATAATGCTTCATGTGGACAGTTAGTGAGCATTTTAAGAGTTTCCACTTGAATAATCTTGAATCGTACAAGGTTTCTTTGAGTTGTGGTGTGAGGTAGATATAAAGTTCCCTATCACTGGTAGTTAAGTGGCATTTTATGGAGTTCAAGAAAAAGTTGACGAGAATATTTGTGTAGTTTAATGCATACGGAAAGGTTATAAACAGTATATACGAGTTAAATAATAGTGTTGGGACCGTAAAGTGTAGAATGTGGACCCCAAAGGATACTGGGAGTTGAAGTGCAATGTGCTGGGTAACTCAGACAGTGCCTGAAAATTGGTTGCCTAATTACTATGGTAGACATTCGGTGGCCCACCGTTTGATGTAGCTCGACTTACGGAGGCTGCACCAAGAATGTAGGAAACTGGATTTGTCGATAAAACAGTCTGGAGAATAGTTGAATTGTATGAGAGTTTGTCTTGGCTGGATGTTTATTTGTAACTTATTCTGGTGACTTAAGTTGAGTGTAACGAATGTCTAAGTTCTAAGATTGTATTTTGTAATTCCAAGAAATCATGAAGTGTCATATGCGTTATGCTTGAAACTAAATCGATTCCGCGGTAACGAACGAAAGCCAATGACACAATGATACGATAAGCTATTCTAATCTGTTGTCCCAGGCCCCGCTAACTAGATGAAGAAGTCCAAGGCAAGTAGGGGAATATATATGTATTCCGTAAGCAGCCGAGTACAAGCAATCAAATAAGGGGAAAAGTCAAGCGCATTTATACAGTAACAAATTGTCCTTGAGCATCATTAGTAAATAGCACACATAAAGAGACAATGGACCAATGGCGGCTAAGATAGTTTACAGGTGGGAAATATGACGTGAAGGTAAAAAGAGCGCTTTTGGCGCGAAAACAGCTAAATTCAAATTTTCAAAATAAAACTACAAGATTAAGCCATTTGCCAAGTAAGTTCTGGGGATTTGACATCCCCAACAATATGTCACCACAATTCCATCATGTAGAATTCCGTGAAACAGTTTGACACCAAATGACTTTGGAAACCTAAGGTCAAATCAGTTTCACCATGGCTGCAAATTGTCCTAGCCATACTTCAGACGATCCATACATGTATAGATCCAGGAGCATTTGTGGTAGAAGACGCACAATTCAACTTCATGTAAACATGGAAAATAAATCCGTGTCCCAACAGATAAAGCGGCAAAATTCGATTATGGACTGTCATACCAGTGACTTGTTTTGATAAGCGCACTTCTCAGTGACACTTATCATTGAGTTTGCCTTTGACAACAGGTTGAAAGGTTTCAAAAAGAACTTTTGGATTTACTTCACTCTTTAAAGGCTTTCGGCGTAAAAGTCGTCTAAAATCATAGGGAGTAAGGCAACTCTCCGCTTAATTCGTGCCGCCTTCCATCAAGCACCAATGATTTGGGGGGGGGTTGCGACAGACATTTACAATATGTCCGTACATCACTTTTGCTAATAATAAGAACGACACATAATATCACTCCGGCAAGCAAAGCAAAACTAAAGAATATATGGTTTACACATTAACTATTAATAATAATATATTTCTGCAAGGGCAGGTACATACCATTTTTATAGGCATGATCTACAAGTTACAACATATACTGTTTCACAGTATGCATCCAAAGCAGGGTTTTTTAGTAAATATAATCTACAAAAGTTGATAGCAGTTCATTCGTTCAGATATAATGCGTTTTCATCAGAATACTTTCCAAAGGAGCATCGCGTCCAAGTTACATACCAGACCCAATCTCGACAAAAAAGTGTATTAAGGTTTCGGTCGTGCTACGTATTTATGTAATGCAAATTTTAAGTTTATAGTTGTTATAAAGTAGACTTGTGGAGCGTCTGGTGCGAACTATGACCTTGGGGAAGCGCGTTCGTCAAGCTTGTTCCAGATGTCAGGAGAACCATAGCTTCACTCTCAGAGCAAGTTTCTGAAGAGAGAAAAAGAAACCAAGGAGTAGCAAGGCATTTGGATATGAACTATAAGCAATGCTTAACATTTAGTAGTGGAACAGACGGAGGTGTGATAAATTATTAGATCAAATTGATACTAGATCATGTTGTTAGATTGAAATGTGTTCAGGAGCTCCAGATGAGAAAGAATGCAGTGATAAACAACAATGAGTTGTGATATTTATCAAGGTGGGATAGGTTCGAATGAAGGAAGGAAGTCAAGATTGGAATGAGAAAGACTGTTTATTAGAACAGAGAGTGCATGTAGAGAGTAGAGCGTTAAGTAAATTAGCAACCATATCCTTTACAGTCTGTTTTTTTCATCATCCGATGCTTGCCACACAGTTTTCATGTAAAAGTCCGAGTTAGCATGTTATAGGTTGTCTTAGTAGAATAGTTAATCCAGCATAGAAATTAGAAACATGAGTCTGAATGGTGAGTGTAGGAGAGCAACCTCAATATCACAGATTGATTGACTTGCTTTCATCCATAGAGAGCCTGATACAGACAAAATGTTCTGACTCACAAACACGGGTAGATTGAAGTCATCGCTCTCACCCTCAATGCTTGCTGGTCAGTAACTCCACCCTCCCTCCTTTTGTCATGTTAGGCTCGTTTAAGCTTATATTTTGGATATATATCATACCTCACACAATGCTCTTTGTTTCACATCCTGTCGGAAAACACTATTTCTATAAGTAACATTTTACAAGCTTATCAGACAGTTACACATTATGGACTGTGGGTAAGGCTTCGATATAATGCTTTAAGTATCAGTCAGTCAGTCACAACGTAGAACTTCATACGTACATACATCAGTTCTATGTTTCATTGACACGTTTTTTTGTAACTTGCGTTTTAATGATAAACAAAAGGTCTCTAGGATGCTTTATCAATAAATTCTGCACCGATGACCAGCTTTACGACGGGTTTCTTGAACTCCTAATTAGAAGCTATGACTTATGATATTAACCAAATCGAAACTGAGATATTTATTTACTGTCGAGGCTGGATGATAGTCGAACTATACCACGTATAAATTGTAGCCGAAAATATGACTTATGGAAAATCGATCATTTCCTTACTCACTTCATATCCTGAAAACATTTTATTTGATCCCATGTTATATCGTATTTGTGGAGTCATTTATTAAGTTATAATCAACAAATTGAGTTTCTAGAACACATAAGATCAAATAAAGGAGAGAAGTAACGAGTGTTTAATTAGTAGTAATATCTCTGATATTGAAAAAGTTAAACGATGGTTAATATGGTTCAAGAAAAAAGGATGAATTTGGAGGATACAATGTATGAGATAATATTAATACTTAGGACCTATCGGATGATGAAGAGTGAGTGAATTTTCTCCATTGTGATCGATTCTAAGCAATCAGTAAGTCAGTCAGTCACAACGTAGAACCTGTACTCATGTACATCGATTCAAGTTGCCGTACCCCTTTAGCATAGAGAGATGAAGTTTTCAGGTGAAAGCTTGGAATAGGAGAGATAGTAACAGAATCAGTAGTAATAGGGGAGGTTAGACACCGAAGATACGACTCGAAAAACAAATATAAATTAGCGAAAAAGGTGTGAAGAATCTAGAATTTCAGGATTTGAGAGTGTTATAAACAGGAGGATACTTGTTATAATGCTAGGGTTTCTTGATATAACAGTCCTTTCACTTTTTACACGTATGTGGGACATTAATTTACCTTAGACGAATGACTACACTAGATTCCCACCCAGTGTCTACTCTACAGGACTTCAACACAACTCAGATCAAGAACACGAGATTAACCTGACTAGAAAACATTTCTTATCTTCTAGGACAACATTCTGTTCCATGGGTCACAAACCATCTATGAGCATTAACATGAATTGTTATGAAGCATCTTGAATGATTTTAAAACATGTTCTTCGTCCAAAGTTACACGGAACTTTGATTGGTAGTTCAGAAACTTAGACCAAAAACGTCACATGTTACTTAAAGTTCTCACGGTTTTCAATTCATTGTTAGACCTTGTGATTTACTCCTGCTACCGAAATGAGCTCCAAAACACTATAAACATGTATTTAAGCCTCATTTTTTCAGCATTTTAATTTCAACATGAACGTATTAGATATGGGTATTATGAGAAGGGATGAAATCACTATTTCCTACTTTTTGAAATTTATTTAGAACACTGATGAATTCAGTTCAGCGTACGAAACGCCTGTTCAGTATTATACGTTGAAACACCTTGCTTACGTCGATTGAGGTATCTCTTGAACATGAGGCACGACAACAGTAATGAGTAATTAAATAGGAATAATATATTTGTAAAATCTCAGCGAATGAATTTTTTTAAATTAAATCCAACGTTTCGCCTATTCAGTGTATAATGAACTCGGAGAACAATGTACCTATTTATATTCGATAATTTTGATGTTTGATTATAATTCCTTGAAAAAGCTTGGACCAGATTGCCAGGCGAAACGTTGGATTTAATTTAAAAAATTAATTGGCTGAGATTTTACAAATATATTATTCCTATTTAATGTCTTACTTCAACTCGGCGCTCAAATACTGTGAAACTATTCGTTCTAATTTAGACGAGAGTTCTTATAAAGTAATGAGTAATTACAAAGGAAAACAAATAGCTAGTAATTGCAATAATACTTTACTAACTGCAGGAATTGTTACTAAAATTTACGGTGGAAGCTTGAAACTTACCGATTATTCGACACTTCGTCTTAAATTTTGTGTAAAATAGCGAGGTAACCAAAGTTTACGTATCCAAAACTGTTAAGTTATTTTTGTTTCATTGTTTTTTGATCTTATAAAGTCCTACGCAAAAGCGGTGAGTTTCATTGGAGTGATTAGTATCCCAGATCAAGTTACGAAGCAACAATCGAGTCAACGTGTACACTACAAAACAGAGAAAGCTTAATAGTTTTTTCCTGCGATGATTTTGTGATTTTACTGCAGCAAAGACTAATTAAATATGAAAAACTTAAAATTCATGCAATCTAACGGGCACCTAATAGCCCCACACCAAGTGAAATATGGAATGGCAGCTTCATGCCGGGCTGTTTAAGGTCATTGGAACGAAAGAGCGAACGACTTGAAGTGAATCTGACGTTTTTGCTGTCCCCGGATATGTGAAGTGCACATGTTCGAGATCATTCTCGTGTTTCACTTACTCTACCTCAGTATTCACCAACGTGAATTAAATTGACAGATATGTACAAAGTTAGGTGTGATACATATTTAATTGTTGTCGTCATTTGCCCAATCGTTTGAGAGTCAGACCATGAGCGCGGAAGTGGTCAGCTAGGCTTGCCGACCCAAAAGTCATAGCGCTGACTTAATGACACAAAATTTTTCCCATGTAAAGCTGATTCGTTTCATCTTTCATTTCATTTCGCCCATTATTACTACTTACTCATTCACACTTCCGGAGTCCTTTTAGTGTCATCGTATAGCGGACGCTTTTTTACTTCCGATATTGGACCTAATCAGATGCTTGGGAAGCCCTTGGTTTTAGTAAGACAGATTAGTTTTCATTACTAGCCAAAACTAGCTTAAAGGTGACCTAGTGACTTACAGCATCATTAACACTTCTGGGCATCCGCTTAAACGCCTACTTAAGCTTAGTCCCAACATAAACATTAGGGGTAACAAATAGAAAGTGGAGATTCGACATGACAGAACGGTTCGCCCACAACTCCCGCTCCTTAAGAGTAGTTAAAAGTTTGGATTTGTTGCCGACTGAACTAGTCCAACCGAGTTCGCAGGAGTCCTTTAAGAGAAAACTTGACATATCCGTAATGACTAGGGACAGTATTTTACTGTGGATTGCCAGCCTTTTTCTCTTTCCTTTTTCATTGATAATATGTCTTGGTTCCACCACTACTAGATACGTAAGCCTGTTGAGCGAAAGCTTCTTGCAGTCCGTCCAGAACCATTTGAAGTATAAAGCTAGACTAAATATCGCACATAGATCATTTCAGTCTATTTATATACTTTAATTCTAACTGATTTTGAGCAACAATTCTGTCCATTGAGAGTATTCTCTTTGTTATATTATTTGATATTGGAGGACGTAAACCACTAAATTATAATAATGCGGTGTTTATGAATTTTGTGCGAGCTTATTGCACCGAGATTTAAAACGATGTATGTTACTAGGTTAAGTAAAAAATGAATGAGTAAATATTATTCTAAAAAAACTAATCTCCAACATAATTTTTTTTCGCATAATTCCACTTATTTGCACTCTCATTTCTAAGATATTTTGCTACAAATACCACACGGCACCCAATCCCCTTATTTTGGGGAAATTTCGGGTTTTCCCCAAAAACTTTCGGAATTTCCTCTGATCTGGTGAAATTTTCAGGGTTTAAGTGACATTTTCCCAAAGTTCTTCATAGCGGTCTTCTCAAAATTCCCGTAAAACAGACGGAATGTTCTCAAAAGTAGGGATATTTCGTAACAGTTCTGTAACATTCGATTTAAAAATTATTCGCTAGTTGAGTCAGCACTTTTATTTGAGCAGTTGCAGTTAGTTAGGGGTTATTGAGGTAAAAAATCAATACGCATCTCATCGGGGTATATAATTCAATGGCAATTTAGGCGAGCTGGTCGAGTTACTCATTACGGCCTTCAGTATAAATCAAGATGTCATCATTTTGACGATATATCTTTTTAAATGATTGAAGATAACTTCCTAGAGAACATACGTACTCTTTACTCCCTCAGAAATCAGTGTAAACGTTTTTCCTAGATCATTTTCGTCTTGTTAAATATAATTATCCTTCTGCGACATTACCATTTAGTACTGCTTAGGCAGTAGCTATGTTCGAGGTGCTAAACCGGCTGCATTTTTCGTAATAGTGGCGAATAGTTTTCTTATGGGTAACTCTAAATGCTTTGGTATTTTGCGATTCGCAAATCTCTGTTTGGAATGCTTCGTCTTAATTGTACTTTCACCGATTCTACCACCACAATCCTCAGTGTGTTCATGTATTAACAAGATTTCCATCAAAGTAAACGGTTGTGGTTTATCTAAGTATTCTAAGAGCACTAACCTTTGGTGAGAGTAAGCTCCATGATCATGAAGACGTTAATTACTTTTGGAACTACTCTAACGACTGAATATCATGCAGCTTGTTACCCACACGTAATCCTACTAGTTTTTAGATTAGAGAGTAGCTTTCTCTAATTACTACCAGCTTCGGTTTAGACACTCAGACAAGGTCATAGTACTCATACAAACTATGGTAAAAGTTAGTAACACATTAAGTATTACCGTGTGCTAATGGAGTATGGCAACTGATTTACACATGTGCCACGTTCTGTGTGGCGTATGAATGACTAAATCACAAATATCCCTCCGCTCTTTTTAATGTGAGCAGATAGCTTTAACTTGCTTACTATCCTTTCTCAAAATTAAATCGTCTATTTTGTTTTTCAGTGTTTAGTTATTTGTATAATAATATAATCGCGTAATGAGATTTTTCAATCAAGAGAGGAAGATCCAACTGACTCTCGATTGCGGACAGAAGGAATCCGGCAGCACTAGATGCCATCAATGCCATATGGTGTACACAGTTGGTGATAAAGAGGATATCAAAGCTCACAAAGAGTATCATCAAATAAAATTATTTCCAACAGTCCGGGTAAGATATCAGATAATTGACTTAGACAAATTACTGTGTAGTAGATAGTGGTGTTTTTTTCCGTGCGTTCACTATAATATGTAACTAAATAATTAAGAATGACTCACTGATCCGTACAGTAGACTAAAGGTCACATCTTTTATAAAAAGATAACGCGATCTAGCTTTTCAAACCTTTGGAGATAAACGTTTTTACTTGTCGCCTGATAGTTAACTGGGTGTTGCAACATTAGTTATATATAATTTATTCAAATTCCATGGGATTCAGTTAAAACAAGCCAGTAGCAGTCAGATCAGAGTGTAAGATCAGTACGTAATATCGTCGCCCCCAAATGCCCTGGTACGGCCAAGAGTGGGGAGAGTCCACTCTCCCTCTCGAAATGCTCTCACATGGCCACGAGAATATATAGCCTCTGCCAGGGAAAGCCTACTCACTGCCTTTTCGTGGGGTTACTGTTGTTTACGAAATTAAGCGAAGGAAAAGCGAATGTCCGGCGCTTTAACCGGGTTGGTAAACACGGAAAGTCCACCTAGGGGAGTTGGAAAACCCTGACTCCAAACCAATGGTGCACATAGGTTCCAGGATCCTGAGGGAACAAATGGCGTATGAATCAATCATTGGTGACCGGCTACCATGGGGCTGCATGTCCTTACGATGCTCCACTGCCTTGTGGATGAGATCTTTGGGTCGAAGTCTCGGGGTGTGGCCCCCTAAGAAAACCACCTGCTTCAGCTTGGGCAGCTGGGCAGTATCACAGCCTTCACACGAATCGAATGAGATTTGTGCGGTGCATATATATCTGGTGCCGTTTGTATCTATATTTATGTGTTTAAATAATAAATAATAATAATAACATGATATCGTCGACTGTTTGTCTGAACCTCATCAGAAATTACATACTTCCCTGATGCTAACCAAATTAATGTTAAAGAATATAAAATATAGTCCGAAATCGACTGGTATGGCACAATCCTATCAAGAGGGAGAAGTTTCATAATGCTGACGAGTTTTAAATTGTTAAAATGAATCAACAAACTTCTGATCGTCATGGCTAAGTGATAGCTGCCCATGAGACAGAACTATAGACGTGAGCCCTCAGTTGTATAAATATTAAGACGACTGACTAGTAGAACAGGTTTTGTCCGAATTATAACACGTTTATATACAATCAACATAGAGATGGCACGATTAAATATCGTAGGTGATTGAGGAAAATCAATTCTGTAGATCACTTAATCCCCAACCAAGGCTTTTTCCCATCATTTCAAATACATTCATTCTCCCCCTTACTTTCATTTTTGAACACCTTACTATTGTTTACTTCCCGTCCTCTAATTTTATTCATTGTCCTTGGTCATTTCTAGTCTCTCACAAGTGTCTTAAGGAATGATAAGTAGTGTCATTTTAAGCCTATCAGGGATTTCCTTAAGACTGAAGGAGTCTAGGCTATTAGGTGACTTTCCGTCAACAAATGGGCCCAAGTAACCTACTTATCATGGAGACTGATGCTTCTGAGATTCTAGATGGATATTAATCTCATGTGTTGCCATGTTTCTATGCATTGATTGCTACAAATTACGTCTGTGAACACAACACGAAACTCGATAGTCAACAAAAGTATTGAACGGGCGCACTGTTAAGAAAAGAGAGTCACTTCGTTTAGTCCAAGTATAATTTATCCTGATTTTCCATAGGAATAGGCTTCCCTTTTTCAAACACCTCGGTTTATATTTTTAGCTATTTCACCATTCATCAGGTAATCAAGGATCAGTGAGGGTCGGCCTACGTAATCCAAATTATCAAGAAAAGCAAGCGCAATTACAGTGAAGCCCATCAAAGATGTGCTCCCTATTCTGTACTATGCAAAGTTCCATAATCGTTGATTTGTCATCTCGCAAAATACCTGTCTATAAACATAACAACTAACTCAACAGTCAGATATCGGAACAAGTGAAGTGTATCGGATCCATACACTCCCAAACATTATGCTAATTGTAGCAGAAGTATATTTTTAATCAATCTGACAATTGTAACTCGACAAGGGATTTCTAGTTGGTTTGACATCAAGAGTTTTTGTCTAACTTTCACTAGCTTCACTCAGCCTCTGTTTATGAAATGAAAATATATATTTATTCTTCAATCGTCAAGTATAAGAGCGTATCTAAAGGTGATTTACATAAACAAATCATTACCTTTGGTTCCATACCTACGAGTATAGGAAATCAAAGTTTATATGAAGCATCTGTGCTCTATCTAAATTAAATGACAAAAAATCCGTTCGTCAAGCCACGATCTAAAAGTAAATTAGTATATTTCAGAAATATTAAGTTTAATAGCTGTCCCATACTAAGACTCCGTTCCCATATAGGTTCGAGTACATCATCAGCGCTAATTGGTGCTTATATAGTGAATAACAATAAGGACTTCAAGATTAAGTCACCGAACTCACAAACTACACCATTAAAACACTTCATTTCATCTACAAACAATCTCAGTATGCAACACTGACTGGGAAATATATTTAAAAATTGCGATGGTGATTGGATCGAAACACGAGACCCGTTTGTAGCGCCACTTACTGTTGGTTTAAATAGTATGATGAGTACTAGACATCTGGATTAGGATACTTACGTCAACAGAAACTACTCATTGGAGGTCTGAGGTAGAATAACCCACCTTTTTCTGTTACCCTTGATTCATATTTTTCTCGTTTTTCTAAGTATATCGTACACAATTATCACGAAAAATGTTTAGAAACATACAGACTAGACCACGATGCTCTAAAATAATGTCCAATTTTCAAAATGAACTGTGTTATCGATGGATATTATACTTAGGTCGTTTACGTTTTAGTATATCATATTTTCATCAAGAAATATATGACACTTGTTTCTCAAGATGTTCAGTGATGAAGGAAAAGCGATAACTTAGGGCAAAAAGTAATTACCCGTTGATACTAACAGCATACAATCTGACTTTTTCGTATGGTTGTTTTAGCTACCACGAGGACGCCATGAAAATATCATCATGGAAAATTTCGATGGTTCACGAGTGACGGAACTACTAACTACTCTTCGATTAGGACAATCCTTTTATGAACGAATATCAACACTGATGAGCCTTGACCTTGGTTACGATGTACCATCAGAAGAGAGTAACCTCCATTATGTTAAGTTGTCTAATACCTTACATCCTGACTGGCGTGTTTTCGTGTACGTAAAGGATCGAACACAATTAGTCGTGGGCTGTTGCATTGTTGAGGAACTAACTACAAAGAAAATATCAGCAAAGAGTTACAAACTGAGCAGACTGATTAGTGGACGGAAAAGTCTCTTATCTTGGAATATCCAGAATGCCCACCGGAGTGACGATCAATGTGATTTAATTTCCCCAAATCCCGACCTTTCTCATGTAGACATTAACGGACCGATTTGTGGCATTCGGCGGATATGGGTAGAACATAAATATCGTCGGAAGGGAATAGCCACAAATTTATTAGATGCTGTGCTACAAAACTTAATTTATGGTTTACCGCTCTCTCGTACACAAACAGCTTTTTCCGAACCAACAGCAAATGGCGCAGATTTTGCTGTATCTTACACAGGTCGAGAAGACTTCTTAATATACTGATTTTATACTTTTATAATGAAAACTGAACACTTGCAGTTATTTATAGTTCTAAATAGAGTAAATTATATATTCACTGTATTCAGTTATTTTAAACGAGGAAGAAGCACATGCTATTGGTAAATCGCATAATTTTCGTCGTTCACAGAATCGTGATGAATGTATTACCGTTAGAGTAGATGCACTTGACTTGCTAACTCAGTAGTCCAACATTCATTTATTAGATAAACAAAACCTGGGAGACAATGTATCTATATCTTATATACAAACCAAATAGACCACATCGTACCGTAAAACAGAAAATACAATTTGTACAAGATCTAGCCAAAAGTGGCCGTGAGTGTGGGAGACTGTAATTAATTAACTGGGCGGTAAATCGTATCAAAATAGTTCATGGGTCAAAATAAAGCCTATAATAAGAGGAACATAAATATAAATAGCTAAGTTACTTAATAATTGTACAATAAAAATATATGTATGGTATTAGTCCAGAATAGATTCGAACGGTTACCACTCATTATTCTCGTCGGGACAAAATAATTTGTTAGGCACAGATTTACGTACTCGGTTCAGTCATGTGTTAAGTATGAAGGTTATGAATATTATACGTCTGCCCAAATTAAAGTTGAACATAAAACCTGCTAGTTGTGAGCGGGATCCGTCAATCACTAAGCCACCACCCAACATATGTTGAGCCTAAAGGCAAACAACTGATAGACAAAACTGCCAAAAGAACCCTAAACTCACGCATTTGGAGAAGTCCTGTGTATTGTCAAAAGAAAACTTTAAAGAGCGCTTTACCCTACTAACGCGTAGTCAGAGATAATTTAACGGCTATTTATCAATTATAATGTGGCAAGAACAATGTTTTTTCTTGTTACAGAAAGACTAAGGGCGTTTATTATTCAGTCAGCTACCACGTAGGACCAGGCACATATAAGCATCGGTCCAAGTTGCCATACCTAATTAGCACAAGATGAACACCAAATTCATAGAAGTTAATTTAATGGTGGTAATATGTAATAGAATGTATATAAGTATTTAGTACAGGAAGAAAGACAGATGTGAAGCGATTTTAATCTCACGGTTTAAGGGAAGTCAAAGAATGTATACACCTACACCATTGTAAGGCATGTCACCCAGAGTCTCCAACCATTTTTTACGGTAGTCACTCGGACCTCAACCAAGTAGTCTGCATCTGCCAACACGGCTTAGACTAGAAGTTAGTGACTTCAAGCACTGATGCCACATATTGGTTTGGCCGCCCCTAACTCTCTTCCAACCGTCCACAATACTAGTCAGTATTGAGCATCCTGGTAATCGGTGTTCAGTCATACGTAACACGTGGCCCAACTATCTCAGTCGATGGAGATTCATGATCTTAACAACTTATTTACTATCATTCCCTAATACCTTGCATCTAACCTCACTATTACTTACCCGGTTATCCCAGCAGATGCGAGCAATATTTCTAGGGTATCTGTGGTAAAATACTATTAACTTACGAGTATCTTCTACTCCTAATGGCCACGCTTCGCAGCTGTTAAATAGAACAGAACGAACTGCTGCACAGTATACTCGTCCCTTAATTGATAGACGGATATCTCGTCTTCGCCATAGGTCACGTAAGTTGGCAAAAGCCAAACGAGCTTTTTGAATCCGTGCTGAGATTTCGTCAGACACCAACCCATTAGGGCTGATCAGACTTCCAAATTAAGTGAAGTTATCGATGTGTTCGACTACTTCACTCCCTATGCTTAGCTCAGGTGTTGGCGCAGGCCAGTCCTGGAGTAATAATTTATGTATAAAGCGGAAGAAATGCATTCCAAATATCCTGGCATTGTTACTCAGTTCTAACAGAAGACTGTATTTTGTCAGCGTCTTCACCCAACGGGACTATGTCATCTGCGTAGCACGTATTATTGGAGTGAAAGTGTTAATAGAAGTGAGCTACTTTAGATAATTGAATACCACAATGGTGGTTTATAGTGCTCAGCTCGGGCACCAGGTTGTAGGTTCAAACTACCGACTTTCTTCTGAGTGGATAGATAGTATTACTAGCATTTGAACGATTCACGGATCAGAGTCTTAAACAGAAGGTAATTAGCTGGTATTTTAACTGGGGCGTCGAGAGAAAGTGGATTCTGTGGTTATTGATCTCACCAAGTACAGTATCACAGCGTAGGCGAAGTTGCGTGACACTAATTAGTGTACTGGAAAAATACCTATGCAACTTCTAGCTCAAAAAGCGGCCAGTTCATGATGTGTATATTATCAAGAATGTCTCCTTTCGATTTAAAATTTTTACTGGCTTTTAAATGTTCAAGTGCTGAAGCCGGGGATGTCCTTCTCGTGGGGTTACTGTTGTTTACGAAATTAAGCGAAGGAAAAGCGAATGTCCGGCGCTTTAACCGGGTTGGTAAACACGGAAAGTCCACCTAGGGGAGTTGGAAAACCCTGACTCCAAACCAATGGTGCACATAGGTTCCAGGATCCTAAGGGAACAAATGGCGTATGAATCAATCATTGGTGACCGGCTACCATGGGGCTGCATCTCCTTACGATGATCCACTGCCTTGTGGATGAGATCTTTGGGTCGAAGTCTCGGGGTGTGGCCCCCTAAGAAAACCACGTGCTTCAGTTTGGGCACCTGGGCAGTATCACAGCCCACACACAAATAAATGAAATGATGAATTCTATTGACAATACTATTCTCGCTCATATTAGAAGCAAGACAATTTACACTATTATTATTATTACCATTATTATTATTATTTACTACCTCGCTTTTTCACTCTCTTTATTCCCAAGTTGTGTATCCTTCCTTTCCAACTTATGCAGTAGCTCGCCCACGGTGGAAACTCTGTCCTATCTAAACGATCTCCAGTCACTGTCTGGTTGAAAGTGAATGCTTCCACCGATAATGAATACTGAAGCAGTCTTTCTGAAACCACGTACGCCGTTCAAGCTGGCTTCCTTCAACGTTCGCACACTAATGCAAATCGGACAACAGATGGGGCTGGCTATGTCTTTAGAAAGTCTTAATGTTGATGTTTGCTGTCTATCCGAGACCCGTATTCAAGAATCTAGTGAAGTACTACAAATTCGCTCTCCATCTGTCGCCTCAAAAAGCTTGTTTCACGTGCGCTTATCCGGGGACCCTGTGGCATACTCGTCTGGTCTTGCTGGCGTTGGTGTCGCACTAAGCGCTAGAGCTGAGGCAGCACTAATCGATTGGATCCCCATTAACAGTCGGTTATGTGCTGTTAGATTAGAAAGTTCCATCAAAGTGAGAAGAAATCGGCGTGAGAAACGGTGTCTTTTCGTCATCCCCGCCTATGCACCGACAGATTGCAGCCCGGATGCAATCAAGGATGAGTTTTACCATCAGTTAACAGTTCTTCTCCAGAAAGCGCGTTCGACAGATATTGTAGTACTAGCCGGAGACTTGAATGCACAGGTCGGGCGTCTAGGCACAGTAGAGAGTCGTCTAGGTGGCCGATGGGGACTTGTTGGTCGCAGGACTGATAACGGGGACCGTTTGCTGCAACTGTGCACAGACCACAACCTGTTTCTGGCCAGCACTAACTTCCGGCACAGTCATCGCCGGTGTGCCACCTGGCGTCCTCCCTCTGCATCCCAAGCCTGGACTCAGATTGATCACATCGCGATCAGCTACCGCTGGCGTGGTTGCGTACAAGACTGCCGCTCCTTTTGGAGTACTTATCTGGAGTCTGATCATGCCCTGGTCTGCGCCAATCTCACCTTACTTTTCAGTGGCCGAAGGATTGACCACCACCAACGGATTGATATTAGTAAACTGGCTGCAACTTCTGTTGCAAGTAAGTATCGATCGGAGCTAGCCTCTAGGCTAGCTACCACCCCACCGAAAAGTATAGATGAGCATTGGTTGCTTCTTCACGACGCCATGAAAATGGCGAGTAAAGCCGCTTGCGGCTTCGCGAAACGTCCCGCTTACAAGCACTGGTTTTCTTCTGGCTCCTTACAACCGATGGAAGCCCGTCGGTCTACTCCGGGTGACCGTGAGTTTGACCACAAACGAAGGCTGTTACGCAATGAAATCGGGCAAAGCTTGCGTAAGGACCGAGAAGCCTGGTGGTCGGAGCGTGCTAATGAGATGGAAGCAGCAGCTGCATCTGGTAACTGCCGCAAGCTCTTCCAACTCATCCGAGCCACTGGCAGCAAGAAGTCTGGTGTGAGTAAAACAATCTACGAGGATGATGGGATGCCAATCACTAACATCTCTCGACGTCTTGGACGATGGGCGGAATTTTTCGAAGGGCAGTTCAACTGGCCTGCTGCTCCGGCAACATCAACCAGCTTGTCCTGCCCCCCCCATGGCCGGTGACGACTGATCCACCAAACGAGGCGGAAGTCCGCAAGGAACTCCAACTCTTGAAGCGCTACAAATCACCGGGCCTAGATGACTTACCTCCGGCTCTTTTTAAAGATGGTGATGACTTTCTGGCTAAGGAACTGACGGTGTTGTTTGCAAAGGTTTGGGAGCAAGAAAGTGTTCCAACATCATGGAATGAGTCGATAGTCGTCCCTATCTTTAAAAAGGGTTCACGTTGTTCCTGTAATAACTATCGGGGTATAAGTTTACTTCCGATTGCGTCCAAACTATTGACTTCTATCATTCTTCGTAGGTTGTTTAAAACCGAGAACAATTGAATCGCGAGGAGCAGGCTGGTTTTCGTTCTGGTCGAGGATGCATTGATCACATCTTCACCCTCCGCTAAATGTTAGAACACCGTCATACTTATCGCAGGCCAACAATCGTAGTGTTTCTTGACATCAGGGCTGCCTTCGATTCGTTGGACAGGACTGTTCTCTGGAATTTTCTATTGAAGAAGGGTGTGTCTGAGGAGTTCATTAACATCTTAAAGGCCCTGTATTCGAACACCTCAGGTAGAGTGAGGGCATACAACCACCTTTCTCCTTTGTTTCATTCGAGCAATGGGGTTAGGCAAGGTTGCCCGATCTCACGATTCCTCTTCAACTTTGCCATCGACGACATCCTGGAAACAGCCCTGATGGATGTAAGTAATGGCGGTGTAGATATGTTGCCTGGAGAACGACTTCTCAACCTCGAGTATGCGGATGATATTGTCTTACTGTGCGATAATGCCCAAGGCATGCAATCCGCACTTAATCAGTTGGCAATCAGTGTCCGCAGGTACGGCATGTGCTTTGCATCCTCCAAGTGCAAGGTACTCCTACAAGACTGGCAGGATTCTAATCCTGTACTCACTCTGGATGGTGAGCAGATTGAAGTAGTTGAGAAGTTCGTGTATCTAGGTAGCTATATAAGTGCTGGTGGTGGCGTGAGTGATGAGATTGATGCACGTATAGTGAAAGCCAGATCGGCTTATGCCAATCTGGGCCA